TACATATTTCAGTAGCTTTCCCTGATCCACAGCTTTCGCGAGAGGTGTGTAACGCAGTGACACAAAGAATAGTATTACACTGTCTATCTAATACACGTACAATACGTCTATGATGCACTAAGCTATATATATATGTTATTTTACTCCCGACAAGATATGCACAAAACCGCTACACAGGTAGGTCAAGCTAGTGTGCGTATGATAACCTCGGCCAACAGATCATATATACCTACACATGCATTATATTATAAACGATAAACAAGTAACAATGAGTAATTGCTCCGGGGCTTGTACGTGCCACGAGGTCGCAGCATCGTCCAGTCATGTACTACAGTAATCGATGGCAAATAATTATATTCGTTTTTATGAAAATGCAACTTAGATATGGAAGACCAGAGACGACATGCGACTTTTTGAGTTTTTGAGTTTCCGAGTTTCTGTATAATATATATAAATGTAACACCAATACTATATAAATAGATTATCAGTCTATTATTAAAACATGTTACTGGTTATTCTTTCTGTTAACAGGAACAGCATATTATACCATAACATACTTAATCACTTTGATTGATTTAACGTAAATTTACATGGTGGGAAGTTAATGACGTCATAGGTAATCTTCTAGGGGTCACCCAAAGGTCAAATTCCAGGTACTAATTACCTTTGATGTGAACATACCACATGTGAAATATCAAAGTGATTGATTGAGAAATGTAGACGATATGGCTAATAACGTCACTGAAATGTGCTAAAATGCAATTTGATGACGTCATAGGTCATTACGTAGGGGTCACTCAAAGGTCAAATTAAGGGTACTAATTAACTTTGATGTGAATATACTACATCTGAAATATCAAAGTGATTGGCTGAAAAATGTAGATGATATGGCTAAAAAAGTCAATGTAATGCAATAAAAGTACAATTTTATGACGTCATAGGTCATTACGTAGGAGTCACCAAATTACGGCTACTAATTGCCTCTACTGTGAACGTACCTCATGTGAATTATCAAGGTAATTGGTTGATAAATGTTGATGATATGACTAATTAAGTCACAAACAATGGGGAAAAATGCTCCAAAAATGTCCCGTTTTATACCTTCCCATAGTTAAAGGGATACTAGACTAAAGGGAGAGATTTTACTGCATACAACTGTACTTACTGTAAAACAAATCGTCTATACCCACACGTACTTGTTACCAGATACCTAATTTAATTGTTATAATTAATTATACATCAACGCTACGAAATTTGAACGGCGCCATTCACACCCGCGACCGTGCTGCCACCCTGAAAAAGTTGCGCCTTTCCCAATATATTTTGCACGTTACAGACCGAGGGCTAATCACAAAGGTGCGATTATAATTATACCTAAATGCTATTTAACCGAACGATGTTCATTTTAGGACAAATTTATCCATAATATAACTGAAACTATATGTCGTTTATAAGATATTACAATCCTTTTGCTTTTAAATTAATAAATAAGAAACACCCTCGGTCTGTAGCCCTTGGCTTAAAAGTCGTTTCGCGCAACTTTTCAGATCGTGCGCGTTCAGTGGCGCCACCGTCGTTTATCAAATTGTAGTCGTTAGTTTTAAAACATTTAAAAAAAAATCTAATGGTGATTGAACCATGAAACTTTTTATGTAGCGTAATTTTAACCTAAATTAACTGAAAATAATTCTAGAACCTAGAGTAAAGGATCCCCAAAGATTCCCAAAAATGGGTCAAAATTCCGTGACAAAAATGCCCGTAACTCGTCACAGGAGTGGAATTTTTTAATTCTGTAAACGGATCTCTGTTTCTTTGTGACTGGGGCTATCGAAAAATTCCATTGGGGTCATTTATAAAAAAATGACCTACTATGCCTATCATTGCTTTTATTTGTTTCACATCGGACATAATAAAATATATGAAAAGGCATGCGCAGATGAAACTTAGAAACTAAGAAACTCGAAAATTCATAAACTCGAAAACTCGGAAACTCAAAAAGTCGTATGTCGTTTCAGGGCTTCCATAGTCTGGTCCGTGTCACGTACGAAATACAGTTCACGTAGTTAATGACCATAAACACGTAGATTCCCTTGATCTCTTGGAGTGGAATATGCACATCTTATCACAGCTGTTGTTTTCTACACGTTTGCTGGTATCACGTTCACAAAATTGCAAGGAGGTAATAAATATATGGCTTCGTTCCGTGAACGAATCTGTCTCAGCAACTAATTAATTCTATTTTAGTTTATCTATACAGCAACGTTACATTACAAAAAGAGCGAAAAGATATATGTTAGAATGTTGATAGGCGAATTGAAACGATATACCATGTTTACCTATCTGAATGCGTCCAATATATTTTACTTTGTATACATCCACGTGTGTTTAACATTCAAGGCATGACTAAATATCTGTCTACACATGTCTCGATTCGCGAAGGCTTATAACTTCGTGGTGTACATCGTTAATCGCGTGGGCCGTCCCTCCTCGCGTCACGATTCAGCCACCGTTGGACCACCGTCCTCGCTCGCCGTGACAAATGCTCTATCGGCTACTCCCCGGTGTCTATCCCTCTACTGCAGCCACCCATAAGCGCGCGACAAAAATCTTAACGCAAAAACTCATCAAAATAACACACGCGCGACATAATGTATAATTAGGCAATTAGTAACACTGTTGCATCGACGCTGTAAAACGCTGAAAACACACACGCGCGCACGCACACACGCGCGCACGCACGCACGAAGACACACATTCTCTATCCCTGAGTCTCGCCCTCTCCTGTTTTCCTTCTCACAAGCAGTTTTTTTACTATTTTTTTATCTCTTTTTCTCGCTCTCGTATGCTCTTTCTCTTTCTCTCTCCCTCCCTTCCTCTCTCCCTTCCTTCTTCTC